GTCAGATGTACCTAGTCTGCTCCCATTGGTCAGATGGCTCTTCTCTGCTCCCAGAGGTCTGATGGCCCTAATCTGCTCCATTTGGTCGGATGGAAATTCTCTGCTCTGATTGGTCAGATTCCTACTCTCCCTTGTTTCAGGTGTCCCTACTCTGCTATGATTGGTCAGAAGGTCCTTCTCTGCTCCCACTGGTCAGAAGACCCTACTCTACTCCTACTTAATCAAATGGCCCCATTCTGCTTTGATTGGTCTGAAGGCCCTACTTCGCTCCCACTGGTCAGAAGGCCCTACTCTGCTCCCACTGGTCAGAAGGCCCTACTCTTGACCCATTGGTCAGATGGTCTTATATGCTCTAAATGGTTAGATGGCCCTAACCTGCTACCATTGGTCAGAAGAATCTTCTCTGCTCTAATTGGTCAGATTCTCCTATTTTCCTCCTAAGTTGCAAGTGTCGCTATTCTACTCTGATTTGTCAGTAGGCCCTTCTCTGCTCTCGCTGTTTAGAAGATTCTACTCTTCTCCCACTGGTCAAATAGCCCTACTCTGCTCTGATTAGTCAGATGACTTACTATACACACCAGATGCTAAACAGTATTGGAAATACCCATTGGACCATTATAATACATATTTTTAAATTTAAACGCTCATCAAAAACGTGACAGAGCAGAGATCAAGGTCCCATAATGCAATTTAAAAACACAAATAAACAAACGGAGAACATTAGTGAGTCAAATGGACAGTTTCTGTAAATAAGTAAAGTCATTGTGACAGTATTTAATTGTAATACCAAACAATAAACGCTCTCCTCTTGAAATTGTCCGCCTGTAGTTTGGTTACAATATTGAGTAATACTGAATAGTCTTAATTGTAATAATAATGCATTATTAAGGTGTGGAGTGACTGAATAATCAGATGTTTGTTTTCTTTTCAGTTTGTTTTCAATTTATTCACTTACTCATTTATTAATTTAAAAACAAAACAATGAAAAATTTCATTTATAATGACTTTTAATATAATGAATTATTTTAATTACTTATTGACAAAAAAATTTAATTGGCAATAAAATAGAATAAAATGTAAAGACACCCTTCTGTTATTTTCTATCATTTTAATCTAATTGCCATATTGTTTATTTTTTGTTATAATTTTGTCAATTTAATGAAAAGCATTTTATCAAAAGACGATTTCCATTATATCATATTCATTCATTCATTACATATATATTCATTTATTTTTGTTTTTTTTTTGGTGGTCTTTCACAAGAATACATTTAGAAATCCTGCTTGTCGGCAAGATCAAACCAAATAATCCACACAAAATAAAACAAAACTGACCCTTCATATTGGTTTAAAACTGCCAGAAAGAGTCAACGGAAGTGAACCATTCCCAAAACTAATACTCACAGTAGCGACATATTCCTGTACGTAATGTCCTCTATTTATCAATAAAATAGATGGAAGGAAATGAAATGATGGATTCGTGTGCATCAGAAAAACACTCTGTGCTCAATCTCGAGTGGAGATGACATCATGAACTCAGTGGAACTTTCTTAATGGACGTGCCTGAGCCATTACAAAGCATGCCAATGTAACTTTTTCAGCAATTTGGCCAGTCTATTTTTAACAATAGGAGCAGACGCACATCATCACCCTCACCAAATTCCTACTCTGATTTGAGAGCATGGAGAGATGGAGACACTCATATTTTCCAAGAATTAAAAATGCATATGATCTGCAGGTTTTCTATTCTATTCTAGTTAGATTATATATATATATATATATATATATATATATATATATATATATTTATTTATTTTTTATTTTTTTTTATTTATTATTTTTTTCTTGTCATTGTCCATTATTAAAATGAGCAATTTTATTGACTTTATATTTTTTTTTATTGAGATTGTCTGTCAAATGGTCTGTTCTTTACAGAAGCAAAACAGACGCACTGCGGCCACAGCGATAATGGACAACAACAGAGTGCATGTTGACTTTTACTTAAAGTACAGGCTAATTTAGTTTTTAAATGTAGCCCAGTGTTAAATTACTATGCATTCATTGTTTATAGTTTAAGCTATGAAGCTATAAAATTAAACTTAAAATTAAAAGTTTGGCGTGGATTTATCATATGTACTATTTTATAAATAGATCTTTTTTAAGCACTATTAATTGGCTAACTGTAAAGGGCATCCCACACCAGATGCGCCGTTCAGCGCTGCGACACAACGCGCACATGACAAGTGAAAGTATCGCACACCAGACGTGCACATCCGCATGATATTTAAAATGAAACTAATCATATTGCGCTCTTTGGCATGGCAGAAATATGAACGGTGTCCTGACTCATAGCTGGGCGCCACGGACAGCCGCCGACTTGCGGTGTCGGTGTGTGTACCCTGATAGAAACCTAGTTATTTCTGAAATGAGTGGCGCAGTGCATCTCAGAGTGGAGCTTCTGGTGTGCGACCTGCTTTAGGGGGTCACACACCAGAAGCGCTGCTTGGCTACGCGCCGTGTAGTGCCATGCAGCACCATGCATTTTAGAACTCTAAAAATAGGTCTCTATCAGGGTACACATACCGCCGCCTCAAGTCGACGGCTGTCCGCAGAGCCCAGTTATGACTCAGTACACCGTTCATATTTCTGCCACGCCACAGAGCACAATCTGCGAATGAGCGCATCTGGTGTGCGATACTTTTAACTGTCATGTGCGCGCCCTGTTGCTGAGCAGCGCATCCAGGGTGTGATGCCCTTTATTCTCCAAATAAAAAATAGGTGTTATAATTGTAATATGATGGTGCAGTGCCGGAGCGTGCTCAGAGCGAGAGAAAATAAATGGAGGTGTTTATGAAGCGGATCCAGGACAGAGCTATCACCATCAGCGCTGGTTACTTGCATGAATTGCATGACACTCTGTAACAGCTTCTCCGTAATCTTGGATAGCCAAGCAAGCCTTAATTACAACCAGTCAAACTGTTTGGTGTTGGGCTATGACTGGTCAGGGTTTTCAGTGCCCCTTTTTCCATTTTTCAACACAGAGCCCGCCTTAGATTGCCTTTATCAAATCACAAATCGTACCAAAGAAAAAAATCAAATAAAAGTATGTGTATACTGCTGGCTTTTTGGTTGGGTGGACTAGAGCCGGCCCTGGTGTGAATGAATGAATAAAACATAGGCTGGAATAGTTTATTTCACTGTGGCGACCCTTGATAACTAGAGATGTATAGTAATGAAACAGAACTACTTCACTACTGTATACCAAAAGGCAGTATCTGTACTCTACTGGAGTATTGTTTTTTTCTCCTACTTCCACTTTTACTTCAGTACATATTTTCGATGAGTTTAATACTTTTACTTTGACAGATTTTTTATGTGCATCATTACTCGTTACTAGGGGTGTCAAAATCATTCGGTTCAGTAATAGGTCATAACCGGTTATTACGTACTGACATAATTTATCTCTTATGCGCAATGTCACAATACTATGGGGAGGGAGGCGGTGGCGAGTAAATATTGTCATGTCCATTAAATATTTACTTGTGTTTTGTTGTTAAACTAATTAAAATGTACATCATTGGTGCTGTAAAAGGTCCCTTATGAAATTGAAAATAGTCTTATGAATCTTTCATGGGAAGATTTTAGTAGCTGAGCAACACTGAGCCACAGCCATGTCACCCTGCAGCCCAAGACCGGTTACTCACTGAAGCTAAGCAGGGCTGAGCCTGGTCAGTACCTGGATGGGAGACCACTAGGGAACACTAGGTTGCTGTTGGAAGTGGTGTTAGTGAGGCCAGCAGGGGCGCTCAACCTGTGGTCTGTGTGAGTCCTAATGCCCCAGTAAAAGTGAAGGGGACACTAAACTGTCAGTGGGCGCCGTCTTTCGGATGAGACGTTAAACCGAGGTCCTGACTCTCTGTGGTCATTAAAAATCCCAAGGCACTTCTCGTGAAAGAGCAGGGGTGTAACCCCGGTGTCCTGGCCAAAGTCCCTCTATCGGCCCTTACGATCATGGCCTCCCAATCATCCCCTCTCCACCGAATTGGCTCTATCACTGTCCCTCCACTCCACCAATAGCTGGTGTGAGGTGAGCGCACTGGCGCCGTTGTCCTGTGGCAGCCGTCGCATCATCCAAGTGGATGCTGCACACTGGTGGTGGTGTGGAGAGACCCCCCCTCATGATTGTGAAGCGCTTTGGGTGTATGACTATACACAATACATGCGCTATATAAATACACATTACATTACATTACATTACATTACACTTCTGTGAAGATATAACCCATGTGTAACAACAGCATCTAACGTTACATCAGCTTTGCGTGAAGCTAAAACAGATTTAAAACAGAACATGACCTGTCTAAGAGAAATCCTTCCACCATTGTCATCCTTTCTCTAGCGTGCAAAGGTAACTCCAATATTGATTCAGGTTTTTAAAAAAGTTTTGAATCAGCAGGTTTTTACTGATCGCGTGCGCGTGCTCTCTGTAGTGAACGTGTGGCGGTTGGCGGAGATGCGTACAAACGGCTGCGCAGTTGTTCAAATCTGCATTTGCTGACAGACAGATTGGGTTATTTATCAGATTTTTGAGAAATGTCGGCCCGACTCTATTTAATTGGATGAACATTTTTCTGTTTTATGCCTTACCCAAAATGTAAAAATACAGATAAATACATTTAGATCATTTATTTTAATCATTACTATTAGACTGTGAAGAGACTTTCAACCTGCACAACAACAACTGCATATTTAAGTATGTTGCTTATAAAACACTTCAACTTCTACTCAAGTCACTTTTTTGATAGAGTACTTGTACTTTTACTTAAGTCTGTGTTTCTTGTACTTTATACATCTCTGCTGATAACTAGGGGACTAAGCTGAAGGAAAATGAATGAATGAATGAATGAATGAATGAACTTTGCTATAGTGTGGTTCCAAAACACTTTACAAATTACTATAGTATTTTTTCATGTGTTTATTTCTCTGCCTTTCGTTTTCCAGGTTTAATCGCCTCTCAGTTAATTCAGTATCTGAAGAGACGTTCGCTCATCTGTCTAAGCTGCGGGTGCTAGACATTGGTCACGGAAACATTTCTCCCAACCGAGGCCAAGCCGGAGACAATATGGAGGAAGAAGAGGAGGAATTAACACAAGAGGAAGAGGAGACACAGCCTTGAGTCAGAAACACGTGAAAAACAGTAAATAAATAAACAAGTAATGCCCTGAATCTCCCTGCACTCTCAAAGAAATTAAAACATTTGTATTGGTAAATGCACCGTGGCTGCTGACGAGATTATTTCCATTGACTGATTACATGCTAGCAAAATGGTAAAGCTAATTATTTACGTATAAAAGAAACATGCTAGCTAGCTAAACGCTAATTCATGTTAACAACAATATGCTAAGCATGCAACCAACACAACGACAAGCTGATTCATGCTAGCATCTTAAAACATGGTAAACATGAAAGCATAGACGTGTTAGAATTGTGATAGCAATGCTAACGTTAAAATCTGCTAACAACATATTGATGTTAAATGATAGCAGTGATGTGTTTTATTATAGTAGGATTGATTAATACAGTGTTGGAACATGCTATTTCTATTGACTGATTACATTTTTACACATCCCTGTTGAAAAATCCAGCTTAGACCAGCCTAGGCTGGTTTAAGCTGGATTTTTCAGCAGTGAGTGGGTGATATTTTTACACATGAAACAGGAAAGTGCTAATTGTGCTAGGCTACTACTAATTTCTAAAGTCTTTTCTTTTGCTTCAAAATCTAGCTTCCCAGGTAAAAATGTAGTATTTGGCCCAGATGTTAATAACTGATATGTGGGCCTTGTAAGTTTGTCTTGACCCACATTTAAAATACATTATTTTCAAATAAAAATAAAAAATTCTACCAGTCAGGTCACTTCAAGGAAACCCCCATAGCACGCCCAAAGCTCAATGATTCATGGGTTTATCAAATTCATTGCAGTCATGACACACCAACAGTTCAGGCCCAATTAACTTGGCTAAGACTTGGCCCAGATTTGGTCCGTGTTTTGGCCATGTTTGTCTGGAAGCCAGACTTGGTCCAGTCATGTGCTGTAATTCACTGCGGCATGTGGGCCAAGCAAAAGCTGATTTAGTGGGCCAGAGCCGTGCCAGAGATATTTTGCTATGTGTAGTTGTATTGTAATATAATGCAGTAAGGATGGAAAAGCCATACATGCTTTAAAAAAAGATCTGGTGCAGGATACCGGAAAGTTTTATTGGTTTGCTTTTCATTTTTTGGTTTATTTTTGTGGTGTTTCCTCATTCATGTCTCGTTGCTCATTATGTTGTTTACATGTATGAAACTGTTCTGTGCTATGAAATATTTTGTTTTAATATTCAGAAGCAAGCCTTACATGGATTTTTGTCTTCTGTAATGGAAGAATCCACTGAAAATATGTATTCAGTCTTTTTAAGTGGGAATTAAATTTAATTAGAAATGCTTCATTTTTATTAAAAACATTGTTCATCAGTGCAAAACACTATATGGGTTTATCGATTGTTTATTGATTATATATATTTTTGTTGTTGTTTTCACAAATCTATTGATGTATGTATTCAAAAGATTTGTAGCACATGTGTAAATTTGGTAATTGTGCTTTGTGAATGACACAAATGAAAAGGACAAAAATACACTCACTGGCCACTTTATTAGGTACACCTTACTAATACAGGGTTGAACCCTGTTTTGCCTTTAAAATTGCTTTAATTCTTCGTGGTATAGACTCAACGAGGTCCTGGAAATATTCCTCAGAGATTTTGCTCCATATTGACATGATAGCATCACGCAGTTCCTGCAGATTTGTCGGCTGCACATCCATGATGCGAATCTCCCGTTCCACCACATCCTAAAGGTGCTCTATTGGATTGAGCTGTGGTGACTGTGGAGGCCATTTGAGTACAGTGAACTCATTGTCATGTTCAAGAAACCAGAGATGATTCGCAATTTATGACATGGTGTGTTATCCTGCTGGAAGTAGCCATCAGAAGATGGATACACTGTGGTCATAAAGGGATGGACATGGTCAGCAACAATACTTAGGTAGGCTGTGGCATTGACACAATGCTCAGTTGGTACTAATGGGCCCAAAGTGTGCCAAGAAAATATCCCCCACACCATTACACCACCACCAGCAGCCTGAACCCTTGATACAAGGCAGGATGGATCCATGCTTTTATGTTGTTGTCGCCAATCTCTGACTCTACCATCTGAAGTTTGCAGCAGAAATCAAGACTCATCAGACCAGGCAACGTATTTCCAATCTTCTATTATCCAGTCTTGTTAAGCCTGTATGAATTGTAGCCTCAGTTTCCTGTTCATAGCTGACAGGAGCGGCACCCGGTGTGGTCTTCTGCTGCTGTAGCCCATCAGCCTCAAGGTTGGATGTATTGTGTGTTTAGAGATGCTCTTCTGCAGACCTCGGTTGTAACGAGAGATAATTTGAGTTACTGTTGCCTTTCTATCAGCTGGAACCAGTCTGGCCATTCTCCTCTGACCTCTGGCATCAACAAGGCATTTGGGCCCACAGAACTGCCGCTCACTGGATACTTTCTCTTTTTCGGACCATTCTCTGTAAACCCTAGAGATGGTTGTGCGTGAAAATCCCAGTAGATCAGCAGTTTCTGAAATACTCAGACCAGCCCGTCTGGCACCAACAACCATGCCACATTCAAAGTCACTTAAGTCCCCTTTCTTTCCCATGCTGATGCTAGGTTTGAACTGCCGCAGATCGTCTTGACCATTTCTACATGCCTTAATGCATTGGGTTGCTGCCATGTGATTGCCTGATTATTACAAGCAGCTGGACAGGTGTACCTAATAAAGTGGCCGGTGAGTTTATGCACAATAATTTGGCCTAAGTTCTCTTTTGGTGTCCTTGGCTTTTCTCTGCTTGATGGAATTTTTCAGTAATGTAGTTTTCTTCATGAATAACCACCACGGTTTTAAAAGATTAAAATTGTAAGATTCCACCCACCGGTCCAATGACGGAGTCCAGTGTTGTGGTCGAAGGAATTCTGCGTGTATGCCTTTTCGGACGCTTCTGGAAAGGGTTTTTATTATTTCATTAAAATTTATTGACCAATTTCATATCTGACTTCATGCGTGTTTTAATCTGACTCCAATTCTATTTTATAAATCATCATTTATGTTTTAAGCTGATCATATTATTGGTTGTGATTTAATTTGGAATTTGATATTTTCTGGGGTCCGATATTCTAAATTGTACGTTCATTAGGGACCTACGTCGCTCAGAGTTCCACGCCCCGGGTTTGCGTTTCTTCTCACGGACAATATGTCGGCACTCTGAAAATAGTCAGAGGATGCAGGATTAACTAATATTTAGATAGGCTGGTTGCATTAATGCTCACCTAATTTCCTAAATAAACAGAATTTTAGCCAAGCCTGTGCAACTTGCTATTCCCAGTGGTCGAATGATTAAAAAGGTCTACAAGTTATCGGCACGCAATGGCTACGAATAGTCAAATGCGCCAATTAATCAATTTCGATTATGCCGTACGATAAGGGTAACGAGACTCCACATAATCTACTGGATACAATGAATTTGCAAAACTCCAGAATCAATCAAAAAGAGTTGACATTTATTTTGCCAGGTAGGTAAAACAATACTTAAAATGAATCAAAATTGAATACAAAACACAACTGATCAGCATAACATATGAACAGAGATAAATGCAAATGCAAATACAAAGTTAAAAAATAAATTCATAAAGTCAGCATACCTGGCAGATAAGAGAGACACACAGAGGCTGTGTGGGAAGTCTGGCTACAGAAACTTCCCCAATTTTTTTGCCAAGATTCCTTAAATACCCATTAACATCTGTGAAACAGTCATGAATATTTAGCACCCAAATAACTGACTTTGTTCTCAGAGATAATTAACTTAAAAGGGGTTACCCAATGTTTTGTGATGTAATGAAGAGAAAAAACAGTTCACCAGTTTATCTTGAGATATCCATGAACATCTGTGAAGTAATCATGACTGTCTACTCCTAAAAACTCTGTCTTTGTTCTCTGAGATAATTAACTTAAAAGGGGTCACCCAATGTTTTGTGATGAAATGAAGAGAAAAAACAGTTCACCAGCCCACCAATCACACCTGAATGATTAGCCTTAAAAAACAACACCAGTAAGGGAGAGGGATGTGGGTGAAAGGAATGTTCTGGTTGTATTCTCCAGTCCCCTCTTCCAGATTCCAGAGTCTTTTATGGTTTTATTGCAAGGGATAGTTGTTTAGGTAAAATCCAGTCTTACAAAATGAAAATAATAAATTATATATATATATATATATATATATATATATATATATATATATATATATATATATATATATATATATATATATATATATAAATACATGTAGTACAGATTCATTTTGAATGAATTACAACAGTCTCGCAAAAAGTCTGTATTTACAAATTCTTCATAGCCCAATGGTCTCAAACTCAACTCCTGGCCGCAGCTCTGCATAGTTTAGTTCCAACCACCTCCAACTCACACCTGTTCAATAGTCTCTGGTAGTTTAATTCAATTCATCCTTATTTGTATAGCGCTTTTACAATGTAGTTTGTGTCAAAGCAGCTTCACATAGAAGATCATAGTAAATTGAAACTGACTTGATTTGTTGGATCAGGGGTGTTTGATTAGGGTTGGAGCAAAACTGTGTAGAGCTGCGGCACTTCCAAGAATTGAGTTTGAGGCCTATGATCTAGCCCAGGGGTCACCAACATAGTGCCCGGGGGCACCAGGTAACTCGCGAGGATCACATGAGTTGCCTGCGGGCCTGTTCTTAAAATAGCCCACCATGGCACCACACCAGTAAGCTATATCTAGTATTGGTGGTGGATGAGGACAATAATATCTGCACGCAGCCTTTATGATGCAAGCTGAGATTGCATCACTCAGCGATGCAATGTCAGACAATGCAATCAATGGAGTGAGTGACATCACTGTGATGGGTGGGGTTGGATGAGCCCATTAAAAAGCATTGGATGCAGCTCAGATTGCACTGCACCGAGTCTGCAGCCAGACCCCTCTCAATGAGGAGATTCCCTCCTATGTGTAAAGTGCTTTGAGTGCACAGAAAAACACTATATATATGTAAGGAATTATTATTAATATATTTTTGAGGTTATTCTTTTTAATTTTATAAACTATTTCAGACAAATGAAGTGTTGCATATTCATATTTCTCTGTTTCCTGCCTTGTTAAATTATTGTTGACAATTATTGTGAGAAATCATTAACATGATCAGTGTCTTTACATAGATGAATATCATTAATTAATAATAATAACAACATGTAATTAAAAGTAAATTGAGAAAATTTGTTATTTAAGAAATGTGTACCAAACTGATAGCCCTTCACATTAATTGGTACCCAAGAAGTAGCTCTCTGTTTCAAAAATGACCACTGATCTAGCCTATTGTTTAAATCAAATTATGGCAAAATGAACAGGGTTTCACAAGCTTTTTCTTTTTAATTAGGCTGGCTTGTCAAAGCCAGACTACTGAAATGCTATTTAAACTTATTATTATTATTTTTTTTTTATTATTCTTCTTCTGAGACTAAATTTCTAACTCTATCTCCTCCTACAGCTTT